AAAAAAAAAAAAAAAAAAAAAAAACAGATCTTGCTGTTTTTTGAAACTTTTAAAGCTAATTTCATATGTCCATCAATAGCTGCATTCCCATTTCCGTATTTTGCAACCATTGACTTCACTGTTTATAATTCTATTTTTACAATATTTTATTTTTTTTACACTTGACGATGTTATAGTTTTAACCTCTACTTAACAGGAAATTAGAAGTGGTTTTTTTTTTCTTGATATCTTATGCTAAATAGGGTCCTAAACTGGCGAAGACAAATTGTTAACTGTTATACTGATAGTGTTTAGACGTCAATGTCAACAAATGATCTATAAAACGTAGAAAAAAGAGGCATACTGCAGTTGTCTAATAAAGAAGAATTTTTTAATGAAGACTCAATTGTTTAATACTGTAGTAAGACTTTTAAGTAGGTTGATTTGTAATGTTGGATATTTGTTCAGATTTTTAACAGCTGTTTTGATGGCTGTTATTCTGTTATTGCTTTAAAAAAAGCAAATTTTTTTCTTCGTTTTTTACCTATTTACTGGCTGAAAAAATTTTGTGATTGTTGTTTTGAACCATTCAATTAACAAATTTTTCTTTTTTTTTTTTTTAGTGTTTGAATGACTCAGAGCTTTTATTTTAATAATTTGTAGGCATATAATTTATGGGCATTAATTTGGTTATTGGTATATATATCGTTATTAACAGCAAGTTAGTTGATGGCTGGAAAAAAAGATGGAGAAGGAAGTAATGTTTGATATATCTTGTTTGGTGTTCTTTTATACTTTAAAATTACCTCAGCACGTCAAAAAGTTTTCAAGTTCAAGCTATTAATTAAGTTTGTTCTTTTCATCTATGCACCAGCAGCATCAGCAGTAACATCAACAGCGACAACAACAGCAAAAACAATGAACAATAGCTTCAAAATTTTATCAGCTTTTTCTTCTTTTTTCTTATCTACAACAAATTTAGTATATCAAATTTTTCTCACTCTTATTTCTTACTTTTCTTTTCTAATTTTGTATCATACGCAATTTTCTAAAAGATTTTTTTTTTTTTTTTGTTTTACTACTACAAATTTTTACTCCTCTTCGTTTCAAACCTAAATGTTTTTTATCATTGTCAGCAGTATCAATAGTAACAAAAAAATCTTTCTGAACGAGCTAATAATTTAGTTTACTGAATATAAGTTCATCTAATGCAGCAGAAAAAAAAAAAAAAAAGAAGGAAGAAAATAAACAAGTTTTCGTGAGTACATATTGATATATTTCTATATTCTTTGTTTAAGTCAATCGTCACCAACCGGATATATTTTTTCTTTATTATTTAAATTTGTGAAAAAACTGACAGTAAAGTTGAGAAAAAAAAAAAAAAATGAAGAATCAAATGAGTGTTATAACTGTATATAAACATTTTGATCACTAAATTGTTCAACCCTTTTTATCAAATAAATTCAGAAGATGAGCTGAACTTTTTGCCTTAATTTGTACTGCTATGCTTCATTAGAAGTAATGAAATCGAAAAGTGGAAGAAAACCTCATAAATTGCATATTATTAGAAAGCAAAGCAAAAGAAAAAAAAAAAAAAAATGCATAACATGTACATTTTATTGTTTTTATTTTTATTGTTGCTCTTTTTTTCCACTAATTTTATTTATTAATGTTTTAGTAGACGAATGAAAAGGTAAGGTAAAATAAGACAAGAGAAAAAAAACCAATTTGTCTTATGCTTTTTATTTCTTACTTCAGTAGATATTTGATATATTCTCTGCTTTCAGCTCCTTTTCTCCCC